TGTTACACCAGCTGCTGGGAGCAAGGGAACCCCTTGGGATAGAAGCCTATTGGGACACCCATGTTGTGCTGCCCTAGCAGGTTCACCCTCTCCCATGGGCTTGGGTTGCCACAACATGGGTGGACTGTCGATGGCTGTTTTCACATGGAGCTGAAGTTCTGTTATTTCCAAAGGCTGGTGGAGGATGGAGGCTGAGACTCTCGGTGATGCAGAGTGTTGAACTCTTTTGGGGGGAGCATGCTACGAAACAGTTGATTCTCTAATAACACAGCAAATGTCTTGGACACAGGGCATGGGTGGTAAGAATTTTTTCTGGCTGAAGATGGGAGAGCTTTAAAAATAGCCCTTAGAAATTAAAAAAAAATTTAAAGAAAACCGTAACTCATTTTACTCATAATAGTCCATGTCCTGTAAAAACAACACTGCAGTTCAACAAGCAATTCAGAATTTCTAGCGTGTATTAAGATGTAAGTTGGAGGAATGAGTAATCACCTCAAAGACTTAGTATCTCTTTGTCCCTTCCTCCATATACTTGTGTTTGAGTCATGACAACAAGGAGGATACAATAGGTATTTATGGGAAGTATAAAGCCCGTGAGCTCGGGGAACGTGTGGTTTCTCTGCAGATGTTATTGTTTTCTCTGGCGTCTTAAACACTGCTTATAAAGGATTACTCTCCCTTCAGGATGTGACCTCTCTGCCTTTTGTCTTGAGTCAGACAAATGGTGACAAAAGCATCCCAGCAACATTAATTTACTCTAATTACTGGACTGGGGATGTGCAGCTTCTTCAGCATATTTATAAAAAAAATCAGTGCATTCTGTAAGTGACTTGGGTGGGCTTATTTCCATGTGAACAATGAGGAAAACCTGAGATGCAAGAGTCTGTTCCCACACACAGTGCACTGAAAGAAATCACCCACATCCGGCTTTTTCTCCAAATTAGGGGCTTGTAGCTTGTCCCCTCTAGGGACACTGACTAGGGAAGTGGGGCATGGGCATGTCACGCTTCAAAATCAGATGCAAAACTCAGTTTTGCAGATTATCTGTTTCTCTGCATCTTCTGGGTCCCAGCTCCAGACCCGCAGCACTGAGCAGGAGCCCATTCTGCTTGATCCCTGGAGACTTAATTTCCCATCTCTTTCACAGCTGCTGCAAAGGAAGAGTGAAGTATCAGTGTCAGCCTACAGACTGTTTCTTAGTAAAGCATTGAGACCCATTACCAAGATATAGGAGATAGTGGGATAGGGAGGGAAGAGAAATTTGAGGGCTTTCTGAGCAGCTCATTTGTAATCAGTACTTGGTAGGCAGTGATTTATCTGGGCAGGGTTTGGGTCTCAGAAATTCATTCAAGCTTATAATTATCTTGGCAGATGTGGAAAGTCATATTCATAGCCACTCAAACCTATTAGAGACTCACATTTTTCTAAAAGGAAGGAAAAAAAACCCTTCAGCGTTACTTTCTTAGAGGCAGAATAGCTTTCTGTTCCTTGTCAGCTCTTTGAAATCTGTCCCCTTTCCACCGCCTGTCTTTAGCTCCCAAGGGAGAAATGAATGCAGATCCACTGGGACAGAACAGGAAAAAAAAAAAAAAGTATTTCTGGGGAAAAAAAAAAAAAAGATCAGCCTATTTTCATCCTTCTGCAACAGGTATTTCTGTATGAGGAAAAGCAAGTGGAAAGGTGAGTCAGTCTGTGAAATGAAGGCAGAGTTATACCAGAAGATTTTGCTAATGCCTACACTGGTGGCATCTTGGGGAGCACAGAGGTCCCTGTGCTGCTGTGGGTACAATGGCACCCATGGCCTTCTTTCTCTCCATTGGTTTACCTTGGCCTGATCCTGCTCTTACCTCAGGGGAAGGTCTCAGCTCTCCTACTTCAAAGTAATTGCACCTGGCTAAGCTGGATCTGCCTGGAGATACCAGCAAATTGAGCCACCCTCGCTGCTGCCCTGTGCCTGGCAACAGGGAGAGAACACCTTTTCCTCTTGCCTAAGTGCAAGGTGAGAGGGAGCAAGCTCAGGACATCTCCTGAATTGGGCACCATAGATAACTGGCCTGATACCCTGCTGTGAGACACGGCTGTTTTGGAGGCTTGGATCTTGCCTGTAAGCTGAATGCAGTACCACCTCCCCGCTCTCCTTTGTCTCCAGTTGCTGCCTACACCTTATGGGAGTTTCTTGCAGTGGAGATCATCCCTGGCATCTGATTGAAGGACTGGCCTCAGCTAAAATCATGGAAACATCAGGGACATCTCTGAGTAAGCAGTAGAATGGCTGTGAGAATGTGAACAGAGGTGGTCAGGTGATGGAAAAGGAAAAAGAGAGAAGAAAAGCAGTTTCCAATATTCAGGTAATCACTAATTTTCCAGAATGCAGTAGCAGGGATGCTACCGATGGGATCTAGGGCTGCACTGATGAGCCTAGGACTACCCAGCTCAGGTACAACATAGACACAGCCCTATGGTTTTGGTGGATTCTCCTTAGGAAACTAGCTCATAATGCACTTGGTTCTCAGGTTTTACTGCATTTTTAATCTGACTTTTGCACTGGGAACATCAATAATAAAATTCTCCAGGGGAATGAGGGGGGAAATAAAACCAAAATTTCAAAATGCCAAGATTGGAGCATTTGTTTCAAGGCTCACTGGATTTATCTTACCAGTTTGGCCACCAATCCCTTAAGTCTGCCTCCCGCAGCAGCCATCCAGGCTTGTTCCTGATGTCAAATTCCTCAAATGTCAGGCGTGCATTTTGAACAGTGATTTGTATGGAGAGGCAATCCAGAGAGACCAGCCAGAGTGCTTGGCCTGTCAGTCAAGGCTCACAACGCCGCTGCACTGAGGGAATCATTTCGACATAAAATTGCATATAAATTGAATCTTTTCAAAATTAAGAGAGGGAGACGAAAACAAACACTTCCAAAATGAGGTGCCACCATTGAGCCATGATGCACGGGGTTCAGCGCTGCAGATCCCTCCTCTGGCACTTGGCTGCTGCCTGCCCAACAGAGGAGATCTCAGTCCATCTTTGTGCCAAGGCTAATACTGGGTTATCGTTAATTACCTATTATTACTATTTCTAATATAATTGGTAATATTAGGTCATTATCTGCCCTGGGGGACTGACCTCAAGGAAAATGTTTTAGTATGTTCAACACTGCAGTGGCCAGGACAGATGAGGCTGGCGATGGCAGCAAGGAGAGGATGCAGGGCTTGGTTTCTATATCCCTCCCTCACACCCAAGTGTGGAGTGGAGCAGAGTGTGCTGAAGCCAAAATTAGACTCACTGCTTTTGTGCATAACCTTCAATCCACTTCTTTTCTTAGCTATACTTTTGAGAAGCAACAGAAGGGGTAGGGAGATGTACCACGTTAAAGATAAGGTGCAGTCAAGGAACCAAGGGGATTTGGAGGCACTGGGACACTGGGAGTGGCAGGAGACTACACTAAGCAGAACATTGAGTTGCCATCACTGCTTACGCTCACCGTGTCCCATAACCTTGGGAAATGTCACTGCAGGACTGTGCATGGTCAGTGAGTTAGAATGGATCTTGGGGGCATAGAAACCTCCTCCTGGGCTCTGCCACTGCCCTCCCATGCTGCCTCGGTCAAGTGACTTGGTCCAGTTTCCTTCAGCCCCGTCCTCTTTTTTTCAGATCATCATATCTTCAATATCCCTCACAATAGCCTGCATTGTGCCTTTGTCAGATTTTTTAAAAGTACAGATATCAGTAAGGAACAATGCTGATCAACCGGGTTTGTTTTGTGGTTTCCTAGAGAGGTACTTCCACAGACTGGTGAGCTGGAAAACTCCCACCCCTGACACAGAGGGTTTCCTCCTGTCCCCAAGACAGGCTGGTGGGGACCGAAGCAGTTGGTGGCTTCACCTGCTCCAGTGAGGAACTGATGGGTTTTGCTTGGCCATAGCCCAGGGTTGGAAGAGGAAAGTTATATGAAAAAAAAAGCTTTGCAGTCTGGCAGCTGCCTGTGTACCCTGCCTGGCCGTGGAGGGCTGGTGAAACACACTGCTTTCCAAAGCCATGCCTTCAGACCCTCTTCTCCCGGAGGCTTGAGGAAATGGTATTTAGGATGCACCCTACACCCAGGTGCTGAAGGAGGAGCTGCACTAGCTGGGCACTGCAGGGCTCACTGTGCTGCACTCCTGACACGTGGTGCTGGTGGGTGTGAGGGTCTTCTTCCTCTGGACCTCCTGGGTCCCCCCTCTCCTGCCTGCCTGCAGACGCTGTGTGCCCCAGAAAAACAAGAGCATCTTAAAAATGGTTTTAGCACATTCTTATCTGCCTTTTAGGCAGATAAGAAATCTCCCAGAGCTGCATCAGCTTCAGATACTGATGTAGCCCTTTGCTGGGCTGTTACTGAAAGGCAAAGCAATATTAATAAAAACCTGCAAAAGGCATTTTCTCAGGCACCTGGAAGAAGACCTGTGGTTCACCTTCCTGGCTCTTGGGTCATCATGGTCCCTGGGGCTCTGCCAGTCCCTCTGCTTGTCTGGCATCAGGGTCACTGGGAACAAATAGGTTTGGGAGGAGCACATGTGTCTTCATCTCCTCCTTTACCTGTGCCTCCTGGCTCAAGTTTGCTCTCGGTGTAAAAAAAAAAAAAAAAGGAGAAAGAAAAAAAGCTGCAAGAAGGGCTTTTATTGTGAAAAAGAGACTCTCCAAATGCTTGTTCCCCCCTTCCCAGCCTCTCCACTCCCCTCCCCACAGGGAGGTGGGTCTGGGATGAGGCAGAGTTTGAAAACTCACAGCTGAAGTTTGAAGGGTGTCCTCCCATCCAGGGCGAACCAGAGGCACGCGCTGGCGTGTCGTGACAGGACCCCAGCAACCCCTTTGCGCGGAGTCGGGAGTAGGGATTGCAGAGATCCCGGAGGGGCACCCCTGGGTGGCAGTGATTAATGGCTTGCGGAGAGGAAGCGGGCTGATTAGTTGCAGCAGATTTTTGTTTATTATTCTTATTATTGCTATTTTTAAAATTTTTGTATCCTGTATTGATTCCTGGTGTTGCGTGGAAGTGCCACAGGCGGAAGGCACCCTGCTCGGGAGGTGACCGTGTGCTGTGCTGCCCGCAGGCAGTGAAGCAGATGAAGAGGAGCGCGTCGGCTCGTGCTGCGAGACATGGTAGGATTTGGGGGTTTCCTTGCTGGCAGTGGGAAGCAACGCTGGGTCTGCTCAGGGACACCAACCCCACGGGATGAGGTGCTACGGCGTATCCTGTCTGTCTCCATCGTGGGGGCAAGGCGAGCGGGACCACTTGGAGTGTTGGGTCATGGTGAGGCGAGCAAGGCAGGGAACCGCTCCAGCACGTGTCTGTCGTTGAAAGCATTAGGGATGGACCAAGCAGATTGTAAGGATGCCCGTAAAGACAGTGCCTGGGGCTGCTGTGGCTGAAGGCACTGCTGTCAACCTGGGAGGTGATCATGCTTTCTCAGCCAAAACCCACCTCTTTTGAGTGCCCAGGTGGCACTGCTTCAGGCAGGCAAAGAGCATGGGGTGAAGGCAGTGAAGTGCAGAAAGACTCAGAGATTACAAAGAGCCCCTGTGTGCTTTCCTTTTGGTCCCCACAAAGCACACTGCTTTCATCAAAAAGCTACGAAAGTGGACGGTTTGGCAAGGGGAAACTTCGTGTCCCTCCCAAGAAATGTTGTATTTCCCTGGTATTAGAAGATTTATCCACATTTGTAGCACGTTCCAAACCTTAAGGTGGTGTTTCATGTCATCTAGTTTTAGTGCTCCAATTTGGAACATCCCTCAGTAACCAGTTTCCCGACCCATCAGAGCAAAGCACGCACCAGCTGAGCTAAGATGGGCCCCCCCTCTCCCTATTACCACTGTCCCACTAGGGGACAGCCGGGGTGTCACGCTGGGGGGTTTGAACTGGGGTGGGGGGCTCCGTTTCTGCTTTGCCACCTCAGCACTTGCAAAGCTCGTGTTGGGCAGGGATTGCAAAACTATTGTGATAGATGAGCTGAGGAGGTGCCTGGTGCTGCTGCCAGAAACTGGTCATTTGTGTTGCTGAAATGTTTTTGTGTCCTTGAGGGTGTGCTGATGTCTCAGAGCATCTCTGAGAGCAGTGAGGCTGTGCCACACTTCACCAGACCGTGTGAGAGTGTTTGTGTAGGGGGGACAGTGGTGTCATGCTTTATACTTTCCATCCTACAGTTTGCATAGGCTGTTTTGAGTTTCTTAATTAATGAACTTCAGGAGCAGGAAAAATAGACAAGGCTGGGGCTTGTGTCACCCATTTTGCGGTTGGAGATAACTCCTCCCTGTCAAAGGGGAAAGCAAGGCAGCTCTCCCCACACCAGCCTTTTGTCTGCAGTAACACTTTTCTGTACGAGCCTTCACTATGAAGCCTTTCAAAGCAAGCATAGCCTGTGCCAGATACCTCGTGTGGTCCCCCATGTGAGAGCGGGGTATTCACTTTTTGCCAGGATTTCCATTTTGCCTTGGCAAGGGAAGGTCTGCTTCTGCAGTCCTTTCCCCCTCCTGAGCTCCTGCCTTGATTGCTTTGATTTTGTCTGTAATCTGGGTTTGCTCTGGGCACCTGTAGACAGGGCAGTGACAGTCATGAGGAACAAATCCAGGCTGTGCCCTAAGCTAATTGTCCTGTTGCTTCATTTGTAGCAAAACCCCAAGCAAAATGCTCAAGATGATTTTTGACTTCTTTCACAATCACCAGGAGGGTGACCCCTCGCAGAAAGCCAGAGGGATGCCAGCTGTGAGCTTCCCATGTGTTAGTATGGAGAGCACGCTTGCAGCCGGCTGCTTGTTGGATCCGGCCGCCGTACATGCCCGACCTGCTGCAGCAGTGAGTGCTGGGGGATGACTGCATTACAGAAACATCTCCTTTCTTCTGGTTTCAAAATCTGCCAGAGAGTAGTTTCCAATTGCTCTGTCATTTGCCTAGTATGAGGCAGTCTAAATACAAGGGGCTGATTACACTGTATTAATCCTCTGGTATAGGTACCAAATGCCTCAATTACCCCTTCTATTTCCAATGTTCATAACTCCAGCCTGTCTGCAGCTATTTGTCTTGCCCTGGAGGAAAAGCCCCTTTTCTGTGAGCCTGGCTGCACCAGTGCTTTTACCATGTTTGCTCTGCTCGCTCACCCTATGGGATTTGCTGGGAAAAGAAGGCGGCTGGGGGGCAGCTGCCAGCAGGCTTTACCCAGGACAGGTCTGTGGGACACAGACAACACTCAGAGCCAAGTGGCAAGCAGCTTTCTTCCCCTCTTTTTCTCTTCAAAATGTAGTGGCTTAAATGGAGTTGCCTTTCTGCAACTGACGCCAGGGCTGCTATGAACAATTCTGTTTTGAAGAAAGCCCACAGGGCTGAAAGGCCCTGCTGTCCTCCTCCTCCCTCCCCTTTGGAATCCTACGAATGCATTTTCCTGCTCTCCAGGAAGGGAAAAACCCCTGACAGCCAGCTCAGGGAAACCCAAGTTTGGGTTTCATCCACTGATGTTTTGGGCAACATCCACTGAAACCCCAACAAGGGAATCCAGTCCAGCCCCTTGCCAGCACCCCAAAGCTGGTTTTGCAAGCTCTTACTGGGCACCAAGCAAGCATTCCCATTTCCTGGTGCTGGTCCACTTGTTAGAAATGGAAACTGAAAATAAGTGGATCAAAACATTCTCTCTCCAAAATACAGAAGTAACATGACCCCCAGTAAAATAAATAAAACTGGACCGAGTGCCAAAAATGCGTGAGAGAGTTTTAGCAGCTTTCCAGGTACTCATCAGCAGGATTGGTAAACTCATCAAGAGAAAGAGGAAATAAAACTTGATTTTGTTTTAATGTATTTGTCCCCATATTAAATACAACCCAGAACACACTGTAAAAGAGACATGGCTTTCTGGCACTTCTGCTCTTTGCCACTGTTCTGTGTGGAGGAGCCGAAGCAGTGCAGCCCCGCTGGGGCTGCCAAGCCAGAGCTGGTGAGCAGCCCAAAAGTGCAGCAAGAGAAGCTACTGGGGTGAGGTGAGTTGTGAGGAAGGGAGTCCACGGCTCACAGAGTCCAGCTCTTACATCCTCGGGTTTGGGAGTCTCATAGGAATCATCAGTGTGAGCTACCGGCTGCGGCTGGAACTGAAGTGCTGAGGAGCAGGATTCCTGAATGTTGCAGGAACAAAGCATTTTGTTCTTCACCAGAAGAAACCCAGGGGTTTTGAGGCAGTTTGTATGTGGAACTTATAGGGAAGGAGTCCCGCCTGTGGGCTGCAGGCTGCTGCCCTCCTCCAAAGCATCCCGTGTACAACCCCTCACAAACAAAGGCAAGACTGTTCAAAATGAGCGGGGCATGAGGCGCAGATGTTGCACAAAGGCAAGCCACATCTGTTTCACCAGGGAAGGGGCCCCCTTCGTGCTGGTTCAGCAGGCAGATGGGAAAGCAGCTCTGAAAACTAACGGAGCTGAGTGCAACAGGCTGGCCAGGAAACTGGGACGAGGGGAGGGGGAAAAGGGAAACCTGGCGGGATCCTGCACGGCAATGGTGGAGTAAGGAATCAACAGTCACCCACACCCACTCCTCTCCCTCCTTGATGTCCCTGGCAGGATTTCAAGGTTGTGCTACTCACATGTGGGTGTGAGGGTTAGAGGAACGAGCAGAGGGAGAGGAGGAAAGATGAGGAGGACCTCCCCTGTCCCATGGGGTGAGCAGGACAGTCTTGCACTCAGGGCTGCCCAGGCCCTTCTTGGCTCCTGTGAACATGAAGTGCTGTTTCAAGTCCTCAGTGACCTGGATGATTTGGGTGCAGGTTGATGTCGCTTTCAGTGGTGAAAAGTAATGGAGATATTTGCACATGTAATAGCAGCAGACCTGTGCATCTCGGTGATGTGTCCTGAAAGACAAACAATCTCTTGGGAGATGTATCTCAACGAAGCAGAAGATCCAGCTAAGTGCAAAAATCTGTAATAAAATCACTGAGTCTGAATGTAAATAGAAGAAGGATGAGGCATCTGAAAGCTTTTAGTTTGCTTACTTTAAGCAAAAGAAGTATGGCATCCTGGAGACTGTTTATTTTTGTGGTGCTTTGTGTTGACTTCTGGGATTAAACTGGAGGGTCCTAAGCTGCACTGTACATAGCATGGGGATGAAAAGTGCCCTGTCCATCCCTGAGTATTAACTCCCTGCAAGCTGAGATTTACACAGGGAGAGTGAGAATTATGACTCTTTCCTTTTGCTCAGTGAAAATCACATGATTTATGAGTAAGGATGGTGCCATCACAGGAAAAGCAAGTTCTTGTGGGTACTCTGCAGGGCTTTAGTCCAGCCCACTGCAGGATGAGATGTGTGTCCTCTCTGGGTAACCCCAAGCAGCAGTCCTGACCTTCACTGCATCAGCTGCACCCCGTGGTGGGGTGTCCTCCAGCCAGGTGCTGGCCATCTACTTACTTCATGGTGTCTGTCCTCTGTCTCCTGCCCCAGATCTTCCTTCTTCAGAGATGTTGAACAGGACATTTGGGATGCTGGGAGCCTTGTGACTCTTGTAAGCTATTGCTGGGTGGGGGGTTTACAAGCCCGTGTTTCTGCTGTACTTGTTTAGTCTGTAACTCAACTGTGACCAGTCAGTGCAATAAGAATGGCACTGTTACATACAAATGCTGGAATTTTCTCATTATTTGGAGCAGTTTCCAGCACTGGCTGAAGACTTTGTTTAAAATGGTCCTTTGGATGATGGGGTATGTGAGAGGGGACTGTGCTCTGCCTGTGGCTATGCAGAGAAGCACGTCCAGGGTAAAGGGCTTCCAAATAGCAGAAAGAGTCAGGCTGGGTGGGGAGCTTAGAGCAAGAAATAGGACCTCTGACCCGGGGGAAGCAAAAAGCTCAAGGGCCTGATGCAGGGCCTGGAGCCAAAGATGTGCCAGAGGCTGTGGAGCTTGAGGGTTTCAAGTTTTTTATAATTTGCTGCCTCAAGGCTCTAGTGATAACTGGGAAGAGCTGTTAAGGCAGCATTATTCGACAACTTAAAGGCAGCATGTTGGAACCATCCCTTTCAAGTCAGTGCTCAGACCAAATGATACCAACACTGTTCATCCCTTTATACTGCTGCTGAAATGTTGCCCTTTGTTAGTGCAAAGCATGCTTGTCTTGCAGTTAGGCTATAAATTACCCTCTG